GGTCATTTCCGAGATGCACAAAATATCTGAGAAGTAAATCTTATAAAAATTCTATCCAAGCCACTGATAAATATTTGATCTGTGCAGATAATTTTAACACTCACGCTGCGACGTGAGCTCTATAAACGCAATCCTTTCTTTTGTTATTACACGATCCAATGTTACATGTATCACACCGTGTGAATCCTAGCGTTTCTTTCATAGGTATTGCTTCCTTTTATCCACCATCTACGAAAGTCTTGGAACTTTCTTGCGTGTGGCTTCGGCTGCTAAGTGAGGATTGTTTCGTCTTCGTCGCGAATATTGTTGAATGCTGGTCAAGTTGATTCTTTCTGGAGTCCTGACACAGTCGAGCACCCACTTGGATTGGATAGAGTGAACTGTTCCAAGACAAGCCTAATACATAATCCCCGGCTCCGGAGATATGAGAAGCTTGGGTTGGCCTGGTACAGCGTCAAGTTAGTAGCTTGGTAAGTTGGTAGTCCGCATGATGGGCAGAATCGCTAAAAATGCGCTACGTGCTCCCTACATACGTCATAAAATACTTGAATAATGGCCACTTTCTGATCTAAACCAGCACATCTCAGTTTGGGGTAATTTTATCAGTTACGATAAAAACTTTTAGAGTCTGCAAGTCTTTGCCTACATAAAAAATTCTTTTCGCGTCACTGCGAGGAAGTCCTGATTTTATGCAGCTCATGACAACCGTCGTCTCGCATTAACACATCTCTGAAGAAGGCGAAGACGGCGGCATGTTAGCCTAATAAATATTGCTACACCAACCTTATGTTTGTTTAATAATCTACGAAAGTATTGACGCCATAATGCTTTTTCGTACGTAAGAATTGCAAAAGCCGGAAATCTTCAACTGTGTTCAGAATTTCACTTGAATTCGAGATGACTTTCCTCGGCTAAAGAAACTCCGCCATACAAGATATTCATAGACCCTACCAATCTCATTCGTTCGCAAAACAACGTAAGCATCAGCCGAATTCTGAGAAAATGAACCGCTTCTTCGTATTCCTACCGATTTTTATGTTGATTACCGTTCAAACAGAAGCCTAGGAATACTTTTACGGTAATCCATACTACAACTACCGCTATGGTGGCTCCCATTACCATTTTACTTCCTTTCGTTCACGTGAGTTATGGCATTCTTTGTTCAGACTTTGTTTTCCAAACTGTTTCAGTTGTTTATAGCTTGGTGGAATCAAAGAGTTCTAAAAGGAGCAATACTTGGGCGATTGCTTGGAGCTGCTGTTGGAAAGAAGTAGAGCAAGGTGATTCAAGCATCACCAAAATAAATGAGTGGAATTATTATGTATTTTTCCTTTGATACTGCTGAAATCCATCCCACAACTACCAACAGAAGGAGAATGAATTTTTAATGTGTATCCAGTTTAGTATTTTGATATCCACGTATAGCTTACTGGGCTTTGAACGTGGGGCTGGGTATATTCACGGCTAGCTTGCCAGTCTCTCCCAGTGGATATGGAGCTTATTTGTTGGAGGCGACTCCTAACCGCCTACTATATACTTCCCTGTTATTTGATTGGAGGCTTTTGGCCGAATTGACTCGTAGAATACAATGCGCAAAAACTAGAACGCACCAACACACGCCTGTATGAATACGCCTCGTAAATACAGAAAGTATGTACCAAATCGGGGCAGCAGGAACAGGGAATCCATCCCCTGGATCCAACTGCGTCTTAGGGAAGCATAAGATCGCTTTCGATGCGCGACTAACCTCCTACCCACCACCTGGAGACGCATCACGTAGCCTCGCAACTAACCGGCTCGAGATCCCTCATATAAGGGACTTCCATAGCTATTTCTTATCTATTCCTCATAGAGGGCGATACAAGTAGTCCTTTTATTGCATTTTCAAAAACGGCTTCAATATGACCACTGTAATAAAGCTTCTACTCTTTTTAGACCCGAACATATTACTTACTCAACGATTGCACATTCCTGCATCAACAACTCGTTAATTTTAACGGTTTTCGAATGGTCGTTGTTTGATATCTGCCCACACCGAGTGGATCGCAATTCGCTAGCGCGTAAAAAAAGCGAATGATGTAAAGCATGCCATTTACAGAGCAACTTAGCCACAGAATGAACGATTTTCCCCTTTAAAGTGGATTGTTTTGACCTTCTGATAGACTGTTTCCGCCATCCACGCAGGTGGCCTGCTGGTATCGTTCTGTGATTCATTTATCTTCCACAGCTATTCCAGCCATAGTTTGATTTGAGTCACAAACATCTTGAAGGTAATAGCGCTAGAAGATTCCTACGTTCCCACGATGTAGGCTGTATTGTTTTTCCTAGCGATTTGTCGTCAATCCGTCTCGTTTCATGCGTAGCCCATCAGTGTCCTTTAGATGTATTATGTGGGATATCTGTAGAATGCCTGAACCACGTCATCTAGTTTGATGATCTTTATTTCATAAGTCATATGCTAAGCTCACATCCATGATGTGCAGTGTTGACCTGATTGTGTAGCCGTGCAGTCTTGGATAAACTATCCCGTTTTTCTAATTTCCCTTTCTGATGTGCTCACTAAGTTGGACGTTCATCAGAGTATTTCATAGCTCCTTTCTGATCACTAAGTTCTAGTTATTCTTCATAAGGCAACGAGATCTGAATGAAATGTTTCCAACATGTCACTTCGGCTGCTATGAGTGGCTGTCGATGAAATCGTAGAAGTACACGAGGTTTCTTGTTCTCCATCCGTATGCACAAACTATTCCGACATCAGAACAGCGAAGCTCTGGCTAGTGTTGTAGACCCTTTTCACAGTCCACGCCTGTCTTATCGCTGATGGTTCATTCACTCGAATTAGCGCCATTGAAGCGTTTACAGCTACCTGTTACGTACAACTTATCCATCGATATTACTCTCTCGAGAGGCATAAAAAACACCATATTTCCCGTCCAGTACCTTCTCGAGTAAGCCTGATCATCGAATTGTTAGTTGTCATTCTACTGATACACCTCTAGGTCTTGTGACTATCGGTTGTCCATCGGTTGTTCTTAGGACACATCAAGTATTCCGCCCATCTGCTCTTCAACATCTTCGAGGAGATGTAGTTTGTATGGAACTCTATAGAATCCTTCATCGACGAGTTAGCAAATCGAACTTAGAAAAAAGGACCGTTGGGACGGTATATCAATCGTTCTTTGACCTGATGCAGGGATACTTGGACTTGATTGCGAACGACCTCATATAGTTCGGTGATAAATCGCTCACTTCTTGTAGGGTGTAAAACTTCACATTGATAATAGATCAGCTCTAGATCCTCTGCAAACAGGCATCTGTTGGTTACTTTTGGCTTTTTAGCACTACGGTAGAAATGTTCAATGAGCCGACCTTACACTGGATCTTAGCCTGTTTAGCTTGCATTATCAGGTGCTCAGCAAATAATTCCAATGCTCACATGTATGCATTGTAAGAATCTTATCAGCATATCGTATCTAAATTTAGCACAAATGGTCCTGCGATCTTAGTAACCGTTCCCTGGTAGTTACGGCCAATAATGCTTTATCGGAGCCACATTCGGAGTCAGGAGAATGATGCGCATCATTCTTAATGCTTCTGGTAACCAGTACCTACAGATAACCTCCCAACCATCTATACAGAATATAAAGGGTTCACGAGTAAAAGGGGACTCTTATTCGCCCTACTGGAATACCGTGACAGGACAGGAGATTGATGACAGCAATTTCCAGTGCTGGTAGAACACTCACCATTTAATCTTAGCTAAACCACTACATGCCTCACAACTCTATTTGCAAGAACGATAGCAATGAAACCATTAAACACCTGCGTTGTGACTAGATCAATCAACAAACGCCTCCTAAGTGAGGAACCGACGTTCAGCAGTCCACTTTTCGAACAGAAGACCATAGAGAGTCAACTTTAACGCCCCAACAAATAACTTCAAGTGTAAAAAATGTCGATGTGTACAACCACTCAGAAGTTCTGATTCAGCAACTAAAACTCTCACCCTACACAGCCTACTCCACAGATTAATTCACATCCCACCTCTTTCCGAGACCCCAATGATGGAATTGTAGTTGAAACTGCAAACAATAAATAAATAGACCCCTAACTATAATCGGAGTGACAAGAACGAATTAGAACTAAACACTCAACTTACTTGCCGTTTGATGTAGGTTAAAAAAACAGTAAATAGTAGGTTAAAAAAAGCTACCTACATGTATAAAACATTGTGCTGAATCATCATGGCGAATAATACGTCCCGTACAAGTCGTATTACATAACATTATACATGTAAAAGATGTTTCCCTAAGACCCAACTCCTCAGCTAAATAGTATTTATGTACAATACAAAAGCGATAAAGAATGTTACAGACACCACCGAGTGTATAATACATATGTCTAATCACTACCACGTCACAGTCATAATCACAGTCTTCATAGAACTTAGTGTGGTAAGAAAAAAGCTATACAGAGATAGACACACGCTAATAATTTAGCGAAACACCTTCCAGGTTCACAACAACATGAGAAGTAAAGCACAGACTGTCGACATCGATAAAACATATGCCTATTTAAATGACATTAGATCCAACTGTGGTCGAAAACGCATCAGGATGCATACATATAACTAAAATACTATCTATAATGCCCTGAACCTTAAAAAAAATATGTGGCGAATATCAATAACACAACGACGACATAATGAAGAGCCCTCTATTCACACACACATAACCCCATGGATCAACATGAGCCATTTATGCACCATACACCATCTTCCCATGTAATATTTTATACTAGAACAACTGCAGCTTCTCGACTTATTTTTCAAATACATGTTGACCAGAAACTCCTTCCATTCAGTTTCATACAGCAAAACTTAAAAGGACCAGAATGTCGTCAAAGTGCTAAGAAGAAAAAAGTAATCACTTTAGCAAGAAATTCACAGATGCGCCATCACCTCAATCAAATGCAACCATACTTCACGCGAAAGTGCAGGCCTAAGAAACAGATAGAATCATCCAACTGACAACGAAATAAAATAGGAATACAGGATATATGACGAGAAATCTCTTCTTCTCGGGTTGGCAACCAACCAAAAATCCCATGGCAGCTGCAATGGAGTGGAATTAAATGCTAACACATAAATAACTAACAACTTAGATTTAGTGTTGTTAAAAATATACTCAAACTAACAGAAATTAAAGTGTCTAATAAGATCGAACTAACCGAACGTTGACCACAAAAAGCCTACTGCTGTTATTACAAGTCGAATAATGAATAAACGACGATGAAGAAGAATCGAACATATCACCGCAGCCACAAATGGAGGAAGAAGGCAATAACCAACAACACACAGAGATTGAAAGAACGATCTAAAGAAAGGTTAACTGTACACCCAGGTTATTTGTTGTTTTACAAATAAGAGCTTTGTGTGAACGCTTCAGGATGAAGAAAACTATGCATATAACTTGAATACAGCTTAATTGAATTAGAAAAGCATTGCCAAACTTGCCACTGTATACTTCGAAAAGGGAAAAACAATGTATATAAGTTCGGGAGATATGAAAGAAGAGGGCGAAATGAGAATGGAAACCATCTTGCTAAAGCCCTGTCCGTAGTACGTCTATTATATAGAAACCTGTTCTTCCAGATCTTCACATAACTCTAAGTGCCATCTTTCTGTGGTGTATTCAATTACCGCCTGCTTCGTGCGAAGATTCTACTTCGCCATAGTCTGGAGAAGAATTCATGTCATCGACCAACAAGAAGTGAAATTTTACATTACCGGAACTCCTGGACGAAGTCATATCCAAAAATTTGCTTATTTAAGAAGTCAAGCAATGTGTCCAACACGTTTCACTTCATCAACCAAGAGATTTCGACCGCTTCTCCAACGATGAAGTTGTTCCAGAAAAAAAACATATACAACATGAAAGGTGATAAATGCCAGTTCCAGAAGATTTTTGAAAGAGAACATAGATCAATACAGGTAGAAAGAAATTGCAAAACAACTCAGAAAAAAAATAGGCTAATCTCGTCGGGACCTTAGTGAAAAGAAATGCTCCGCTTTCAGTGCTGATGAACTAAGATGGAGTCATCACCACCTCCCGCTATGATATGGAATTCATATCGGAAAGGTCCCACACCACTTTCTTCCCGTTCCACAATCTCCACGAAGAATCGTCAAAAGAGTGAAGTGGGCATTAGCAAAGCCTCCATCCGATCCCACTGACGCTGATTTTGGGAAATCTGACAACAGAAACGGTTGCGTTCTTATTGAATTACTGATATACCACGAAATCCAGTCACTAGCATTTCCTCCACACCGATTGTCATTAAGACCTATCACGCGTCTCCACGAACTTATATTCAACACTGTGTATACATCGGGGTCTTTAACCAGCGATCATTGCAAGGCTACGGTATTCAGCACAAATGAAAACATTAGACTTTGTTCCTCAAGTAAATTCTAGGACAAAAGTCTATCATCACCATTTTAACAGTTCGGATAATGGTCAGTGATCGTTCGTTTCCCTTAGGTAGGGTCCACCGACGAGGACTAGCCCAAAAATTGACTACGAAGCCGGTTGTTCTTTGTTTAGCTCAACACATCCTTGGTAAATTCGTAGGCCGCCCGTTTCCTAAGGCTCGCTACAGATCGTCAAGGCGCTCTGCACGATCTCTCCCCATGAGGTAATTTCAAAGAGATGAAAATAACTGCTTAAACTACTTACGGTATATTTGAATTTTGTGCTAAAACACAGAATCAATACGAACTCACATCTGACCACCAAGAAGTTTTATGTTCAGCGTAACAACAACAGAACCAAAAAACGTGATGGCAAACACTTGTGTGAATTGTGGAGCGGATCCATCCGGGTTATTATGGTGCAATAAACTAAATAGATATAACGATATTGGATAAAACACTTCCCCTCCCAGAGATAAACATAATAGAGTGAATAATTTCATAAAAAAAAAATACTTCAGTTTAAGCAGGACGAAACGAAGAAAGCATCACTCACAGCGAAAGGCCCACGCAGATAAACAATGGCCCCCAAAGATCCCAATCCCTTAAAAGTTGCTGTCGATCTGAAGATGGAAAGATGACATGTCCGAATTTCATTGCAGTCGCACGAAGATCACGTTTCTATAACATAAGTAAAACTATTTGCACATAACACTTAAAAAATAGGTGGTAATAACGATAACTAGAAATGACAAGGTTGAGAACTACATTAAAACTATAGCACCTAAAGGGTCGTCAGACTAATCCTAGAAAAAGGTAATCAGAGTATTTGTTTCATATTTTTCAACGGCGAATAAGAACTTCTAAAACAATAAACTGTTAGCCCAATAATCTAAGGAAATACTACCTACCACAGTGTCCCAAACTGGCTCATCCAATGTGTCAAAGTCACTGTCCAGATGAACCTCTTGCATGAAACGGGGTTTTGACGAACTACCCATGCCAGCGATGTTTCCCGACAGTTCACTAGGAGAACTTCGCCGGGCATGTTCCTTTGCAGCAATTTCTTTTTCTAACTGAATCGACAAAACGTGTTTTCACAGAAGGAATAAAAACATCACCTAAGAGGTAAACCCACCATGTCAATATCAACAGCGGCACTTCCGAAATTTGCCATCTCTTAAAACCGTGAAAAAAAGCAAATCTCACAAAGTAGTCGTAGCCAAGCTGCAAAAAAGTGAACAGTAAAAACAATAATCCAGATAGCATTTTCAATACATATTTTTCGAAGTCAATTGTTCCAAAGATGCACAGTATCTGCCCAACTGCGTTCTATGGACCTAATAACTAGAAGAAACAACAAAATGGGCTGAAACCACGCTAATTCAAACGTAGAAAATAAACGAACCTCCGGATGGAGAGCAAGCCAACCGAAACGTTGGTGGAAATCGATCGGAACTGGATGTACTACTTCAACAAGTACTACAATGTCCAGCAATGAAGCACTTTGGCCGTCAGCATAGAAAAAAGTTGCCCCGATCACCATTCAAAACGTGGCAAACCTCTACCGTAATCCATCATTCTCCTACGGACCGCATTTTAAAATGGCGGGAACTGTAATGTGTTGTGTGAACTCATAAAGTTTCTTTTAGAAAATCTGTTACTTCTCGGTTTACTTATGCAGAATTGTGTTCGAATCAACTTATTGTTGTGAATAAACCTGTTTTGTGGTAATATGCTTATGCTTATGCTTCTATGATTTTAAACACGAAGATTTCAAAATTTTATTTATTGCTGCAAACAGAAGTAACAAAGCCATGTTTCTTCGATTTATGTAAAACGGCTTGTCTTCGGTATGTCTTTCTATAGCTTAAAACGTTCTGTTAGAAACTATTTCTAGGATGCAATTCGATTCTGGCTCAACGAGAATCATACGAAACGGTATCCGAAGTAACGTTGCGAAAATTAAGGTAGTTTAGTTAATATTACGAAGATTAAGGTAGTTTAGTTAAGTTGTGTTGGTGAATTCTATATTATGAGAACTTTAATCAATATTATTACTACCGTTATTATTTCTATATAGCTCTGAAATTTGCTGTTTTGTGTAGTCGCTTTGATACGTTCTTTAGATAGGACCAAGTATATCCGTATTACCGAGTCGCCTTTCCCTTAGTAACGCTTACTTAAGGCATCAAATGCGACTCGTTCGGAGTACTCTTGTAACCTTCAATTATATCTGACACCGCCCTCGGAGCAAATCAGCATTGATGAATTCGATGAAATCGCCATAGAAAGAGTGAAAGTGCTAAAGGTGAGTTTCTTCTGCTGTGCCTTTGTTTCGAAGCTGTTTCATAAACGACAGTTTAAGACCAGTCCTATTTGTCCTGCATTTAGAATGAGCGTTTATGTTATCAGGGCGCTTGTAGCGCAGTGGTCATAGCTACAGCCCAAGACACCAGGTCAATAGTTTAATTCTTAGATGCGGGCAAATCCACACTCTCCATACTTCTGCTTAGCACATCGATGCCACATTTCTGTGGAAGAATTTAAAAAAACACTGACTTAGGGAATCAGTAGGCACCTGAAAGTTACTCTATAGGCCGATTTTGCATTCATCCCCATCTACGATGTTACGATTGGACTCGAATACATGGCGTGTCCCTAAGAGACTGATTGATTTTATTGTTTTATGCTACGCACTATTTTTCGATGGCTAACAACACTATTAGGGTCTTGCAGTAAGAATATTTCTACATCTTAGGTCGTTGAAGATATAAAAGAACGGTACACTTGGAGTAGTGACGAGTTCAAGAGCGCAATGACAAGAGAACTTTCGAAGCTCATGCCTATCGCTGCGGGTTCGTTGTTTTTCTCACATAGCCATCAAAATATAGTCTCAACACCTTCTACGATTATTAAGCAAACATGAACTTCATAAAAGAATTTATTCGGCTAGTGTTTCCATGTCTTCGTCTCCTTCAGAGCCTGGTAAACAGGTGTGGATGGCTCTAAAGAAGACGAAGACGTAAAGTGTTAGCCGAGTGAATCTTCGTTATCAGCCTGGTGGTTGCTTAATAATCAAAGAAGATGTTGATTGTTTTCGTTCAAGTTTACTGAAAATCCGTTTGAAAAAATATGTATGGTCTTAGTTAAATTAATTGCATTTACCAGTTATTTGATCAACAGGGACATGTATGGCGGTTGACTTAGAGCGAGCCCGGAGACGAGACGTTATTGGTCACTTTATTCTTCGTCTTGCTTTCTGTCGTTCTCCTGAATCCACAAAATGGCTTATCAACCAAGAAGTCGACCTATTCAGGTGTTTTTCTCTCCTTATTTTTACAAGCTGCTTTCTAACAAACTTTTTCGTTTTACAGGTTTCGTTTTCTGAACGAATCAAGAATGAATATCATTAATTTCTTGAAGCAGAATGATATCAATCTTGATTTAGTGAGTCTCAATAATAACAGAAGCGAATAGTAGGTGTACTGTTTAGAAAATTGCTTGACTGCAGGTTGACAAGAATGAGCACGAGGAGTTAATGTTCGATTTAGCTGCTGGTAGTGCACTGAATATTGAGCAGACCAGCAAAACTGATTTCTGGAAGGTTTGTTTGTGTATTTTATCCTAATGTTGTTGTTAGTCTTAGGTTATTTTAGGTGGATTTCGTTTCCGCACTTGAACTGGTTCGTCGCCGACGAGTTCTTGTTCGCCGTGGCTACGCGTATGTACCATTCAGCGACCTCGTCGTAATCACCAGCTCTATGTTGCGAGCGAATATGACGATAACTATGGCTGTGAGAATGCTGTACTTCTTTCGTAAACGATAATTTTTAGACTAGTTGTAATGTTGTCCTTCTCCTGAACCTTCGTCATGCACTTCTTCTGTGGCCAAAGTTCTCGAACGACTTTCTGTCTCACCGAACAAGTTCGTATTGGTAGCCTAAACTTTTGGAAATATTAAAGTTAAGATTACTGAAAGCGATTTATAGAAGTAGCCCAAAACGACGCACGAAAACACGTCTGGTTTTCAACCTTTACTATAATTGTTTAGCCATTTGGAAGTATTTATCTGAAGTGCTGCTGTGGTTTACAAAAGGCATGGAAATTATCGGCGCAAAAGATCATTGCCAATGGAATGTTTTAGTTAACCGATATCATTGTTATCACAAACCACTATCACTCTGCACAAGCGTATACTAGGATCCTCCTGGAAGTTTTGCGAGATTTTTATTCCGAGAAAGTAGAAGCGACAGAAATCGAAGAAAGTCTTAAGCCTATGGCAAGCCGAGGTATTATTATGTTGATGTGATATTTGGAAGGGAAGACCGTTGTCGATGCTGTGGATGAAGAATTAAATTTGCGAAGAGACACGGCAGTGCTGAAAAAATTTTTAGGTTTTCAATTTTTTCTTATGTTTTTCTTTCAAGAGATTTTCAGTGTTCCCTGAAGAGGCCTGTGTCTACAAACAGTCGAATTAGTATGTCAAAGTGAAGGTGGAGCTTCTAGGTCTTTATTATGTGCACTGGTTAGAAGTGCCATACTGGGTTGATCGTTGATTCTATCCCATGTCTAAAGGTCACCAGGCCTTCCTTGCGTCTATGATGAGCAAATTGGCACTGAATTCTTCTGATAGCAGCAGTGACTTGCACTGAGATCGATAAGCTACCGCACTTCATTGTGCCAACTAGGTATGCTTTAAATCACTATGCGATATTACGAATGGACTCAAACGCATGGCACACTTCTCAAGGGTTTTTGGACGCCGGACCCTTTATCCTTTATCCTCTTATTTGATTTTACAAGCGATAAAAGATCTTAAGAAGAAGAAAAGAGCAATATCGGAGGAAGCTCACGTGGTTAGTAAGATCATAACTTCCTCTATTACTTTTTCAGTACAGACCCAAAAATACCGTTGGACGTCTGGATAGATATTCGTCCAACTCGGAAGGGCAGTTTTAAAAATATTCTATTCAACGCTCCTAACCACTCAGTTTTATATCATCTCAGAAAGGATGAGGATTTCGGCATAGTTGTTATTCTTCTGTTATCTTGTTCCAGACCTGAGCATCAAGGAAGGAAAAGTACAATTCGAGGGAGTGCCTCGAGGGGACAAGATACCCAGATAGCAAAAAATGGATGGAACCGCGTTGTTCTAAGGAAGAGAGAAGCACATATATGATATTGCTAATTATTACCTAACCTGTTTATTTCTGACTATCTCTAGGTTTTCTAAAAGCGTTGGGTGTGATGGGAAGTATCGATAGTTACTTGGATACTAGGACAGCTAGGCCTCATTGGTTGTGCAGGCCTCAGCATAATCTCCACTTTTCGGAACTTTGCTCGTTTATCCATTATGTTTCCCCAGAGTCCGGAGGTCAACCTGCCCGAAGTCTGCATCAGGTCGTCACAACCACAGTCAGTCGCCGCCCTTGTGGATCAGAGAGACTTACCACCATGATACTAGTTTGATATCAGGACGGTGTTGGATCCTGGTATTGGTTTAATCTTAGCTGTGCTTCCTGGTGGAGACGCCGAACTCCTTCTCGGCTTGGGAGACTCCACCGCGAGAATAAGTTCCCTTGCCGTACATCGCAGCTCGACACCCAGGAACATCTCCCAGCGACGATGAGGCGATAAACCGTTGGGAGGGAGAAGTGTCGATACGGTTACGAGACTCGAAGTATCACAAAGCGGTGCTATATACCAATTTCGTCAATTTGTATAAAGTCTTTGATTCCACTGAGACGGAAGCGGTTGTGGAGGTTTTGACAGTCAACTCCATTATTGAATATACAAACATTCTACATATATGAAACCATTTCGTAACCAAGTATAGTCTTTAATGATTGCTTCTGGAACAAAGGTTTGCTAAGCATTATGAACGATGACCTATCTTGAGGGTTAGTTCGGAAAGATAGGTCTTCGACTGAGCCCAAATAAAACGATGTCTATGAGAAACGGATTCTTTACAAAGCCCAGTTTACGTCTAGCAGAATGATCAAATTTGACCAAGCAAACAATGTGTGTATGGGTCGACATGTCGATGGAATGATAGACCCAGTTCCAGAAACCAGCTGGAGGGAATAGTGGATTTAATAGGTTTCCAAGAGTCCGGAAGGTGTCCTTAAGAAAGAAGAGCAACCTGTTCTGCGCTTAAGTATTCGGCTCTACGGTCCTCACTGCCTTAGCAAATTGTATGCCATCAGGTTGAAAAAGGTGACTTAGCACTGTAGCACTATACAGTGGTATCAAGAAGCTGTTGAGAGATAAGAGTATTCTATAATAAGGGAATAGTAATAGTAGGCGGTTGATAGCACAGTGGTAGTGATGCTGGTTATCACGAGCACGGTGCTTGTTCGAACCCTGTTGGGCCCACCAAGCCTTCCATCTCTTTGAGGTTGGCAAATTGGTGCTAGACCTGTCTGTTAGGATAGCAGCACTGGCTCGACACATCGGTAGGCCACCGCGAGTCATTTTAAAGGCTAGATCTACATTAAATCACCTCTAAACGATGCCTAACGAAGTCGAATGCATGGCGCATTCCCTCAGGGATTGATCAACGCCGAGAGCTTTATCCTTTTTTGTCCTAGCTCCTTGAAATAGTTTTCATCAGCTGGTAATGGGCGCCCGCTGCCGTCATCAAGGCTGAAATCTCTGTTACTAAGTTTTTCGAGCCACCTTTGATTTGCGGCTAAGGAAGTAGGTGCTCCCTGACCCATGCTTCTATGATGTATAGAATCACCAGCAATGCGATGTTGTAATTGTTGAAACTCATGAAGCAAAGCGGTATGATTTCCTTCCGTTGAGAAAATTATTTCCAGCTATCTAGAACGAGAAATAGCAATTGCTATTTGTTGGTAAGTTTCTTTACAACTTTCATATTGATGGAAACGGCAGTTATTTTTGCTTCAGCCCAACGCAGCTCTGCTTTAGTGAATTTTGCACATTATTTTACGAGGTGTATTCATGAACGCGTGTGTGGGTTCGTTCCAGTTTATGCAGATTGTATTCTACGAGTCATTTAGGCGAAAAGCCCGCAATCAAGTGATAGGTAAGTATATGAGAGGCGGTTAGGAGTCGCCACTAACAAATAAGCTCCATGTCCACTCTAGAAAAGCTTGGCAAACTACCCATGAGTATACCCAGTGCTCACATTCAGGACCCAGCAATTATATGTGGGTATCAAATAGCTAAAAACATTAAAAGAAGCGAGCGTCATTCCCCTGACCACGAAAGAGCTCCCAATTCGGCAGCATTAGGTAGGGCGACTACATAGTGGCTGCTAAAAACCCAGGGCCAATGGAAGCTGCCTGGATTGCAATGAACTAAGGTGATGATTTGTACCTACAATGCACGTACACACGTACACTTGCATCCGAGTCCTCGCTAGAAGACTTGCTCATGCAAGCAAGAAGGATAAGGTACAACGTCATCGACCTGGCCGAGACGACACGAGGCCTCGTATTCAACGTCGTCAATGACACCGGAGAAGAGCTGTTCTTCGGAACATGCGACAGTAGTGGAGTCGGCGGCGTCAGCGTTCTCGTCAACACGAGTTTTTCCATGAACGTCGATTCATTTGAACAACTAACAACCCGAATCGGACGTTTACGATTAAAAAGATGTGGATCTATACCGCCCTTGACAATCTTCGTCGTTTACGCTCCTGCATCAAACTATGACTAAGAAGGAATCGAGGCGTTCTATATGGACTTGGAGAAGTACTACAGAGAAGACCACACATTCTTCAAGGTCATCATTGGAGATTTCAACGCCAAGATTGGACCATGAAGAACGTGACATTGGTACCCATGGTTTAGAATGGAACGAACAGGGTGAGCGGCTATCATCAACGAGGAATACGATCGGCTCATTCAACATCTTCACGTTAATGCTATGAAAGCTGAGAGTTCGAAAGTCACCAATAGACGTCTGTCTCCGGAAACACTCGAGCTGATACGCCAGCGTGGAATCGTAGGAGCTGCAGGCAACAACGAACTTACGTCCGAACTTGCAAAACAATGCAGACAGACGATAAAAGAAGGTCTTAAAGAGGGAGAAGTAGCAGTAATGGTCGAAGTTGGAGAGGCTGGGAAGAGCATTCGCAGAGTATCACCGAAGCTTCTCCAATTACAAGTCCAAGATGATAGCACTCCGATGCTCAAACGGGACAGCCACAGCGTCCAGAAAGGCAATGGAGAAAAACATTCACTGATCTCTTCGATATCCACGTCCACCTTCCATAATATGAAGTTAAGGGGAATAGATATGTTGTACCACGGGTTTTCCCTTCCGAAATTCGACATTCCACTTCGTCGGTAAAAAATCGAACAGCACCAGGTACGGAGAGGATAAGACCAGAACACCTGAAGAACCTTCCACCAGTCCTCGCAAACACACTAGCTCGGTTGTTCACACTTTACCTGTCTGAATGCATGGTCCCTACTCAGTGGAAGATCAGCGAGACCGTGTTATTCTTCAAGAAGGGTGGTCTACACGATATCAGCAACAATCGCCCAATCTGCTTACTATCTGTCGTCTACAAACTCGAGTCATCCGAGACAGGATTGACAGAACACAGGACGAAGGACAGCCATGTGAGTAAGGAGGGTTTCGGAAAGGTTTTAGTTCCATGGACCACATCGACACGATAACGAAACTCACTAAAGTATCGCGAGAGTACAAAAGGCTGCTCCATCTTACTTTCATCCACTTGAAGAAGGCCTTTGACTCAGCTAAGAAAGAAGCAGTCATGGAAGCCTTTGATTGTCACGGAGCCCCAACTCAGTACATAAAGATTCTTCGTAAGCTGTGCAAAAATTTCACAATCAAGATATCACTATTCTACAACGATATCAGCATTGACGTCAAAAGAGAGGTTAGGCAAGGTGATACCATCTCGCAATAATTATTTACCGCCACCCTCCAGAACGTCATGCGAGCATTGGAATGTGATAATATGGGAGTAAAAATCGATGGCCGGTATTTACACCATCTTCGCTTTGCTGATGACATGGTCCTTGTAACACCAAACATTAACCAAGCGGAACGTATGCTTGCCGATTTTGATAAAGCCAGTGGAAGGATTATTCTTCAACTAAATTTCACGAGAACGATGTTCGTGAGGAACGAATTGGTTTAGTAATCCTCATTAACGCTCGGCAGAACGAATATCTTCGAATACTCCAGTTATATCTATCTAGACCTGGAAATCAACATATTGAACGACATAGCTCCAGAGTTGAACAGAAGGAAACGAGCGGCTTTGGGAGCTTTCAAGATCATCGAGGGTGTAGTGAAACGAACAAAGAACACTCGACAACATGCCCAATTTTTCAACTCAACGGTACTTCCCTGTGTTAACGTATGCGTCAGAAACGTGATCGCTACGTAAACATGATGAAAAATCACTCAGCGTTTGTTGAACGCGCGGTTGAATGGACAATGCTAGGCGTATCCCGTTTCACACAAGTAAGGAAAGGGATCTGAAGCTCCGACCTGCGTCAACGATCAAAAATCAAAGATGCCATTATGTACGCCAAACAGTCAAAGATAAGGTGGACCGGACAAGTGATGCGTATAAATGACAACCGATGGAGACTAGATTCCTTGAGATGTCAAATATACTGCAGGAAGACCTCTGATCCGGTCAGAGTTCTTCATGAAATTTCTAGAAGAAAGATATGATGCTCTACGAATCGCTAGAGCGAGCAGAACCCACTGGGCTACTCTCGCACGCGAAAGGAAAATGGAAGATTTACTGGAGCCCGCTCGAGTCATTTGGCGATCAACGGGACTACAGGTGACAGGTAACCACGGAAATGGGCTGAATGAAGGGTTAATATTGTTTCCATAATGGAAATGGAATTATCGCTACTTAGTATTTGAACAAATTAGTAATCGTACCATTGCGTAATTTTTCTCTATTAACTTTGGTTATTCGCTTCGAACAAAGGATAGCTGTCAGTGGGCTTTTCGAAAATCAGCTAAAAGGACTAAAATGCTTGCGTTTCCTTATATCTTTCGAATATCGCAATTAAAAGATTTCTGATATATCGTATTTTGTCCAAATCTACTTTTTTTCTTCTAAATAGTTGGTTTGAAGCTACTTCATTTTGTATATTATTTACAGCGTGCGTTCAAACATTTGGCTGTTGTTGAAGAAGAGAACCGTCTTCTACCAAGGTTGGCACGTTTGGCAAATAATGCTTACAGTGGAAAGCAATACGTTGGAAAAGAAGCTGAGGGTAAAATTACGCGTCACATGGTTGATCAGGTTAATTCGATTTTATTCCATCATGTTTTGAATGGTTAATTTCATGACTCCTCCAAACGCTTTATTTCCTCATCGTGGTTGGGAGGTGTTCCTGGGTGTCGTGCTGCGATGTACAAGGGTGATTCATGTCCAGCAGAGTCCTCCAAGCTAAGAAGCAGTCCGGCGTTTTCAAAGGCAGGCCCAGCTAGGTGTAAACCAATACCAGGATCCATCACCGTTCTGGTATCAAACTAGTCGCATGGTGGCAAATCTCCCTCTGATCCACAATGGCGGCGACTGCCTGTAGTGGTGAAGACCTGGACAGGCAGTCTTTGGCCGACCTGACCTCGGGACTCCAGGGAATCACAATGACTTAACCAGCAAATCCCTAAAAAGTGGTGATTATGCTGGGGCCCGCACAACCAGTGAGGACGGGCCGTTTAAATATCCAAGTAAGTAAGTAATTTCAGACTGTGTACTTCTTAAAGGTATCTACAGGATATTTGTGTAACTGAACGATAACGAACAATAACATGCATGTTTTATAAGTATTCTTTCCAGTTGTGTGCTTCGTCGTTCCCACCTTGTATGCGGCAGATTCATTTACGATTACGTTCTGATCATCATCTGAGACATGGTGCAAGAAGGTATCTATTGTATACTTTTTGTCCCATGAATTCGTTTCATGCAAACCGATTTCCATAATTTTTCGAGGCAATATGGATTGTTTTTAAAAGCAATTGGTCTGCCATTGGATGAGGCGATGATGTTCATGAGAGAGGAGTTCACTAAGAAGTTGGATTCTGATAAGGTTTGGCTTTTTTGATAAATCTTGCTTGTTTATTTAATTTTGGATTGTCTTTTTATCTGGAATACTTCTTATTTCAGTTTGAGAAACAATATGCATACAATATCCGTCATATGTATGGTAAAGAAGGTCGTCGTGCGAATTATCCAGCATTTCCTTGCTCAGCGATTATCTTAAGCAATCCACCAACTGCAGGGGATTGTCACGGTGCTAAGTTTTTTTTTGTGTTTCCTTTAATGAAACGATATCCTTTTTATGTTAGTTGTAAACTACTCAGATGATAGACTTTTTGAATACGTCTACTTCAGGTTGTCCTTTTAAACATGTCGACCAGCAATTGTTAGCACAAAAATTGGAAAAGGAGGGATTGAATAGGGACCAAATAAACCAAGTGAGCTTTTCGGATTCCACCGATGTACTTAGTTGGGAGTCTTTTTGGTAAATTGATGACTTTGCGACTGGTAATAGACGTGAATTTAATGCCTCATACAAGGTGGCTCTCTTGATTGCTTAACAAGGTTTATCTATTCCTAGGTTTAGAAAGTTTACTAAAATATGGATAAATTGTTGAGCTTACACGAGGTTGATAAAATTGTAATATTTGGTTAACGTTTCGGCTTCTTCATCTTCGTCGGAGTCGATGAACCGAGTCTATTGTTTGCAGTTCTTCTTCATCTGCGGACTTCGTCATCTGACTACGAAGACGCCACATCGAGATAACGAAGAACTGTGGACCACCGAAATGATCGACTCTGATGAAAATGAAGACGTCGAAACGTTAGCCGGATGAAACAATTTTATCAGCCTCTTGTAAGCTCAACAATTTATATATATGTTAATTATTCTAGTACCGTATCGAGTACCGAGGTTAAGTGACGGCCGATTTGAGAATTATCTACTAAAATGTTTTTCTTCGAGATATTTTTCTTTATCGTGTTATTAGGGCGCGTGTGGCACAGTGGTAGGAAGCGCCACTGCGACACACACGTGGAATCGATCTTCGTGCTCATGGCCTAACAAGCATTCAGTCCCTCCGGGGTCAGCAAATTGGTGCCAGACTTGTCTGGAATGGTAGCAGCACTGGCTCAATATATCGGTAAGCCACTGCAAGTCATTGTAAAGGCCAGATATGCTCCCACGACCGACTTTCTATTAACCTCGGCATTGATCAAGTAATTCTTCGTATTTTTGTTGAGCAAAAGCGAGGTGTTATTATTCTTTATTCACGAATGAGCTGACGTTTCGGCGGATTTCGCCTTCCTCAGAGCCGCTTTCTATGAGGTCTCCACTAAGTATGTCACGTAGAGACCAACCGCACAGAAATCACATGGAAGTATAATGCTTCATATGAAGATATGGCCAGATATGCATTCAATCGCCTCCAGCGATACTTAATGAAGTGGGATGCATGGCGCATCCCTCAGGGATTGATCAACTTCGAGAGCTTTATGGTTTTTTTTCTTATGCTTTATCGTGCTATTCTTTGCTTTGTTTTTTCTAGATAGTGAATTATTCGAAGGCAAGCGCCTTTGACAAAGCGTGCACGCGCTTCTTCGAATATACGCATAAAATGGAAGAGGGCGCATTAGGACAGCTGATCACACATCCAAATAACTACTTCGAATTGTCGCAAGAGGCAAGCCACCTTCGAGGTTTACTAGTTCAACGTCTTTTGATCTGTTGTTCTTCTAGGTTCTCAATGGTACACGTTCGCAGAGTAGTCATCTGATTCAGTCACGGAGCGCATCACAAGCTGTGGTTAAGAAAGAAAAGGACTTCTCGGACAATGAAGATTGAAAGTGAACATCACCTTTGGAGTTTTTTTCTCCTTTTCGCTATGTCTCTATATAGGTACATCATGGAATCTTCATTAGGTGACTGGAATTTCTATGGAAATTTTTGTGCTGAAGGCGTTGTGGATTTTTCTTGTTTGTCAATATATATGTGGTTTAACGTAAGACTTTAATTGTCTATATTTCAAAATCTAACCTTAAATTCACAATTAAACTCGTTTGGATCGTTTCCCTGTTAGTAGCTTGTTAACATTTATTAACCAATGCGTTGGCTTTGGCTTTTATTTGCAATCGTTGAACTTTGAATTTGGTTGGTTTTTGACTTCTTGTCTATGTCTTCATTCCTCAGGAGTAGTATGAAGCCTGATATTTCACCCATATAAGTGAGTTTTTTTAAGCTCTTTATGTTTGAATTTAAAGGATAGTGACATTATTCTCTTACCAGTTCTTAACCATATAGTGCAAATTCACAATTATAATTGAATGAAGCAGAAATCGTTGTAACTCCGTAAACAAGTTCTTTCTGTTTCGTGTTTTCTTTCCGATCCTTCCACCAAATTTTCTACGATGCCAATCCATTGTTTTGCAAGTTTTATTTCTAAATGAGTATTGTTGGAGAAGGCGATGTTCTTCATGCTGTCGCGATTGGATACTGGTTGGTTTTTAAAGGCGATACCCTTGTCTACTTGACAAATGGCACGGGGATGCTCACACTTTTTTGTTATGCGGTGTCATTTCGGACGTGTTTGTAAAAGCGCCATTATTTTTGCTTGGGTATTCGAAAATCTTCTGAAGAATCAGTATGGCTTTTGGAAATGATATTCTCGATTAACCGCCACAAAAACATTTCATCGGACCGTGAAAAGTGGTTAGAATCGGTAAAGTTTGTGTGCACTGCTGACAAACATTTTGAGTCATCGTTAGCGATACCGTTTCTGTACATATTCGTTTACGAGAGAACAGTAATACTAAGTTCTTGTAGATTCAGGGACAGCATTGTGTGAAGTACCACTAATCTTGAGTTTATTAGATGTTCACGATCGGTCCTTTTGGATCGCTGTCTTCAAGTTTCGTCATTGATTAGATATCGTTTTAAGCACCAGGATGGAGCATTTTAGAAACAGTATACCCATTAGGAGTATAGGTTGTCACTGGGTAGTAGGTCACTAGGCTCCCTATGGTTTACCGTCTCACCATGGCTGGAAGGTGTTTCTGGGTGTCGGGCTGCGATGTGAAGTGGGGGAATCTATCCTCTAGGCAGAGTCTCCCAAGCTAAGAAGGAGTCCGACGTTTTCAAAAGCAAGCGCAGTTGAGAGTAAACCAATACTAGAATCCATCACCACCGTAGTATCAAACTAGTCGCTTGGTGGCAAATCTTCCTGTGATCCACAGGGCGGTGACTGCCGATGACGACCTGGGGCAGACTAGCTAGGCTGACCTCGGGACTCCAAGCGAGCGCAACAGTTCAACCAACAAAGCTCCGAAAAATTAGGTATTAAGCCGGGCCTCGCACAATCGGTGAAGACGTGCCATCCAAGTATCCAAGTAAGTAGATGGTTAGTTTTGAATCAATCTACCATCGAGGCACGGGCGGCGGTAGTCTTTCTCAGTTTATACCCAACGATAAATCTGCCGGCATTACAAGTACTTTCGCTCGCTTACAAGTTGGCTACAAATTCTCAGTTGTCACTCTCTTGTTATTGCTTTCGACAACGTCGTGAATTCGTCCATCAATTCTGTTTCTGCACTTATTTGCCGAGGAGTCAGTTTCAGAGGGGTGTAAGTATGACAACATTTGATGGAGTTCTAACTTTTTGTTTCTCTGGCCCTTCCAGTGATTTGCTGAATAAGGTGATCATATTCCTTTTCAATATTGTTGGTAACGCTCTCATGAATTTTTAGTGGAAGAGAAGTCTATCATTGAAACATGGTACTCCCCTCGTACATCGAGTGTTCTGTGAATGTAATGGAAACCGTCGACAAACCAGTGGTGAATGATTGACGGCACAGGAACTACGTTCTTACCCTATTATTCATACTGGCCAAGTTCCATAAGCAGTGATTTCGTACACATCATACTCAGAAATTGGAATGCGAACTACAAAAATCACGAGAAGAGATATGTTTCTTGTTATGCTCATGATGATACTATATTGATGAACAGAACTTCCAACTTCCTTGCTGTTCCCCCGTGCCGAAGAAGAGCTGTGTCTTCATAAAAAGGATAAAGTTTTTGGCGTTGATTAATCCCTGAGGGATGCGCCATGCATTCGATTTCATTAAGCACCGTTAGAGGCGGTTGAATGCATATTTGGCCTTTGCAATAACTCGCGGTGGCCTACCGATGTATCGAGCCAGCGTTGCTATCCTCTGAGACAAGTCTGGTACCAATTTGCCAACCCGGAAGGATGGAAGGCCTGGTGGGTCATGGGCGCAGGGATCGATCCCATGTGTGTGTTGCAGGACGCTTCCAACCACTGAGTCAAACGCACTCTGTGCTTTTGTATGATCGGTTAATAACCATTAAAAAATAAAATAGAAAGGAATTACAACTGTTTACAACCATTCTCGACCATTTCAGTGACGTCGTTCCGATTTTCTTCTCCTATGTCATCAAACCGTCCATGTTTACAAGGCTATTTTCGGAAAGTTGAATGTTCGAATATGCGGATTGTCATCCTGTGTTTTCGATTTCGAAAAAAAATCGACGGCTTCTACCAGGCTCCATTGTGAAAGCCAAAATAACATCTAGCGGCCGTTTGCAAATCTTCATAATAATACCTTCGGGAGGAGTCCCTGAAACGAAATTGACTTTAGAGGATTGGATTCTAGCTAAGAAGTCGATATTTTGTGCTGAATAAATACCATATATATATATATATGTTTATATATATATATATATGTGGGCGAGTGTAGCGCAGTGGTCGGAGGCGCCCTGCAATACGCACGTGGAATCGGTCGCCGCCCCATGGCCCACCAGACCTTCCATCCCTTCAGTGTCGGTAAATTGGTACCAGAATTGTTTGGGAGGATAACAACGCTGGATCGATATATCGGTGAACCACCGCGATTCACTGTAAAGGCCAGATATGCATTCAGTCACCTCCAAACGATGCTCAATGAAGACGAATGCATGGCGCATCCCTCAGGGATTGATCAACGTCGACAGCTTTATCCTTTTATTTTACTGGAGCTGTGTTTTGTTAACGCTTTCTATTGGAATGCGACGGAGGTTATGAAGCAGAAAAATTGATATGGAACTTTTCCGTTTCCATATTATGGCGGAAAGTAGTGATAGTCCCATTTTCATTGATCAAGGTGGATAGCGGAACATTGTAGTCGCAAAGATCGCCGCAGCATTTCTTTAGACTAGATTATTTTTGAGCTACTTCCAATAACTCTCTCTGTTCGTACCAGTGTAAATTCTCCTGCCAAGATCTTTCACAGCTGTCATTTATTACCAGCTGTATTAGGTGTGTTGCAGTAGGATCAAACTTCGGTTTCCTTTCCTTTTCCTCCAACTTCTTAGTAGTAACGGAGATGCTATCTGAACTTCTTGTTTGAAGGACTGAGGCTAGTTCTGCACAAGTTGTAAGTCCTTCGACAAGCAGTTTGCAGTCCTTGGTCTTGTCCTCTTTTATCTGTCGGCCATATGAGGAAATGGCTTTACTGAGAATATCCTCGTCATACAGGACTCCTTTCGTTTTTCTTGGACGACAACAGCAGTGCTTTTCGATCCTATGGTTGAATTCAGTTCTCACAAGAAGAAGACAGTCATTGGACCAATTAAAGATTCCTGGTGCCAATGAAGTGTTAAAGAAGCATCTGCTTCCGATAATGTGGTCGATCTCTGCATGGATAGTTCTACAAAGGAACTTTCATGTCCAGCGCCGGCTTTCTTTCTTATGGAAAAACGAGTTTCCATGGAAGAGGCGTGCTGCAGACAAGAGTTCTGCAAGACGGTTTCCGCTCTCATTTCTTCCACCCAATCCAAATTTCCCGATCGTGTGTTCACTTTCGTAGGCCTTTCCTATTCTGGCGTTGATGTGGCCAACAACGAATTTATGGAAGGAGTCGTTGTGGATTACTTCTCAAACTGGTCGTAGAACGCGTCCAGTTTACTTTGATCTGCTGATCAAGTTGGTGAGTAACAGTTGATAGTACTAACTTTCTCTTAACGCGGACTTTGGAGACCAAGTATGAATAAGCGGTATGATAGGATGTCGTATGAGGAGGCTAGATTTGTATTAGGCGGTTGTACGATGAAGACAACGCCTCCGACATTTCATAACAGAAATTTCCCTCCAAGAACGACAAGAATTCTGTCATCTAGTTCCCGCATGTCGGTCTTCTTGCTTTTCGTTTTTTATAGAGTGATCATACGGAATCGGCAGCCTTAAGAAGAGCGCAAAGGTCGGAGTCTGAATAGACTGTTTTGGCGTGACAGGTAAACAGCAAGAAGCAGTCTCTCTCCATGGCGTGTCATTCGCGTTCTCGTTTTATGCGTTTCCAGTGACGTCCTGTCCAACACGGGATTTGATTGCGTCTTACCGGTTCTCGCTTCACGACATCATGAACGGGAACGTCGGTACTGAGGATAAAGCTTCGTTAGTTCAGCAAACGCAATTTCCTGGAATCCCGAGATTAGCCTAGCTGAGGCCTTCACCAGGTCGTCAGCAAACCAGGAAAATCATCATCAACTATTCTGATGTTCTTTTACTCTTAACAGAGCTTTCGGACGGAAACCTCGTTTGTTTGTCTGTTTGTATTGCTTTCTAGAAAGAAAAGAAAAAATATCAAACGAAACAGTTAACAGAATAATCTATCGTGTGCCCACATAATCAGCGGATTTATTCCTTTAACACTTATACTTTAACTACAATGATGCTGAAATATTTGCAAAATTTGGATCCCAGGCCAGATCGAACTGCGATTACCCTTTCCGGCGTTCACGTACTGCGTACGACACC